CATTATCCATCTATTTTATTATCTTTTGTTTGATTTAATTTAAATATATATATTTTTTTAAATTTAATATTTAATATAACTTGAGTGTAGGATTTGTTCATTATTTTTATTTTTCCCTTGATTTGTATTGATGTTTAGCTCTATAATTCGTTCTAAAATTTTATGTATTTCACAATTTCCCCCCTTTGTTTTAAAATTTTTGTGACGTAAAAATTTTCAAACAAACAACTTCTTTTTGGTCAGTAGATGTTAAATATTATATTTGTACAAGTGTGTTATGTTAAAAATACCCCTTGATTTACCAGTATTTGGTTCTACTAATTCATAGCTATTTTTTCCATTATCTGTATTAACTATGTAAGGTCCCTCATAAGGTAATTGGAATTTAGCACATATGTCTTTTTGTCTATTTGGTGTCCTTAACGATTTTACAATTACTAGATCACCTTTTTTAAATGATGTCGGTATTTTATTCTGTTTCAGACGTCTTTTTATTTTTTTTTCTGCATTTCTATGTAGTTTGTCTTGAGTTTGTTCTATTATGTCAAAATAATTTTCGTGTTTGTCTGTTACCCAAGGTCTGTCAGGTATTTGTCCAGTCATTAAATATATTGGTGCTCTATCTGTTACTTGATTAGGCACATTATTTAAATAATAATTGATTTTTTTTAGGTTTTCTTCCCAAGTTAAATGGTCTCTATATACTAGCATTCTTAAATATTTGTTTATTTCTTTTATATATCGTTCGCATGGATTAGATGATGGTTTCCTTATGCTCGTATATCTAGCTTGTATATTCAATTTGGTTAAAAACGTTTGAAATTTAGAATTTTGAAAATACGTTGCATTATCTAATATACAATTAGTTGGTTTACCATATTGGTTTATAAATTTTGTCAAACATGTCTGTACAGTTTTTGTATTTGTCCTTTTACATGGATAAGTCTGTATGAATTTTGAAAAAATGTCAATTATTACAAAAATATGTTTGTTTCCTTTGTCATTTGTAATTAAATTTGAGATAAAATCAATGGCAATTATGTCTAAAGGTTTATTCGGTAATATTGTTTTTGGATGTCCTTCATTGTGTCTGTTTTTTTCTTTACCCAATTGGCATAAGTCACATTTTATAAGTTCTTGTTTAGTAATTTGTCTGTCCTTCTTGCTGTAATATGTTTCTCTAAAAATTTTCCAAGTTTTGTCAATCCCTATGTGTCCAAATTTTGTATGTAATTTCCAAATGATTTGTCTAGCTAGTCTTTCCGTAATTACAAATAATTCATTGTCTTGTATAATTTTTGTATAAATGTCCTGGTTTAAATTTAATTTGGATTTTTGATCTGTCGTTAAGTTATTTTGATCTTGTTTTAAAGTAGTCACTTCATTCTCACTTTCCTTTCATTCTCGTTCGTATTGTCTGTCTCATCCATTCTTGTCAATGCATCCGCTACTTTATTTGTCGGTCCTGGTATATATTTTATGTCAAAGTCATATTCCTGTAATAGTAAAGCCCACCTATGTATTCTATTGTTCCCATTTTTATGTTTTAAAATTGAAGTTAAAGCCTGATTGTCAGTTTCAATATAAAACCTTTTTCCTAGTAAATAAAATCGTAACTTGTTAATGCAAAATATAATGCTAGCTAATTCTAATTCGCTCACGCTATAATTTCTTTCATGCTTTTTAGTTATTCTTGAGATAAATGAATTGGGAATTTCCTGATTATCTATTTTCTGTATTAAAACTCCTGTAAACCTTAATTTTGAAGCGTCAGTACGTAATATAAAAGGTTGGTCATAGTCAGGGTGATAAATTTTTAATTTCTGTATGAATGTGTTTTTAATTTTTATGAAAGCTTGCTCTTGTTCATCTGTCCAGTTCCAGTTAGTGTCTTTACGTAACAATGTCAATAAGGGTACTTCTAGTTCTGTAATGTCAGGTACCAGTCTTTTGAAATAATTAATCAATCCTAAAAATCCTCTTAACGTTTTTAAATTTTTGGGTCGTGTATAATTTTGTATGACGTCCATTCTGTCTTCGTCCATTTCAATTCCTGTCTCATTTATTTTGTAGCCTAAATATTTTATTTCCTTTTTTATGAATTGACACTTTGTAATATTTATTTTTAAACCTGCATCGTCTAATGCTTTCAAAACAATTTTCAGGTGTTGGAAATGTTGTTCTATGTCAGGTGAAAAAATCAATATATCATCAAAATAATGAATAACAAAATCATCATATTTATTCAATATCTGATGTAAAGCTTTTACTAACGCAGCACATGCACTTTGCAAACCAAACGGTACAACTGAAAAATTGAAAACTTCTCCATCTACCATATATCCAGTGTATTTTCGACTGTCTTCATGCAGAGGTATCAACCAAAAACTATGCTTTAAATCTAATTTTGTAAAAATATTTGCCTTTGTAATTCTGCCTAAAATTGCATCAATTGACATAGGAGACTCATATTGTGGTATTGTATACTTATTTATGTTCCTCGCATCTAAACACAGCCTTATATCACCATCCTTCTTTTTTACAACTACTAATGGGTTAATAAATGAGGTATTACTTCGTTCAATAATATTTTCTTTTAATAATTGTTGGATTTCATTTCTGACCTGATTTTTGTAACTGTATGGTATGGGATACGTTTTGGCCTTAAAATTTTGTATATCATTTACTTCGATTTTGTGGACATAATTATTAGCTTTCCGTGTTTCTTTCTGAATTAACTTTTCATGCTTTCCTAATAAATCTTTTACTACATATTTATATTTTTCATCACATTGTATTTCTATTTCATTCACATCATCTATACCCTCTTCAAATTCATCATAAAATTCTTCTTTATTATAATCATTTATATTTTCATTTTCATTTATACGCCTACATGTTATCTTTCCTACCCTCTTTACGTTAGCTAATATCATATCCTCAAACTCTTGTTCTACATTTTCAAAATTAATCCACATATCATAAAGTTTTATTTTATTTTTTTCATAGTCAATTACAATTTTATGTTTAGAAAGTTGATCTGAACCTATAATAATCTCATATTCTAAATTTTGTACCATTAAAAGTTGTAAATTTATTTCTTTGTTATTTATAGTGACATTTATGTTCAATAGTTTATTTGCTGTATACAATTTCTTGTTATTAGCTCCTATTAAAGTTACTTGTGGTATTTTAATTATGTGTTTAGATAAATCTTGGAACTTTTTAACTAAATTTTCATTAATTAAAGATATTTCTGATCCAGTGTCAATTAAAGCAATTTTATTAAAATTTTGATGTTGAATTTTTATAAAAACTAATTTAAGTTGTTGTGATTGTTCTGAAATTTCATTTTTATTATTTTCTACAAAAATGAATTCTCTAGGATGTTCAAATGTGCAAATTTTAGGGTCCTCATTTGGTTTGCTTTTTACTGAAAATTTTGTTGAGTATTATTGTTTTGGGACTGGTCATTTATTTGGTCATTGTTATATTCCTGAAATTGTTGATAATCTGTTGAAATTTGTCTCTCATTATTACCTGAATTTCCTCTATTTAGTGAATGTGATCTTTCGTTATTGTTATAATTTCCCCTACTTCGGTTATCTCTCTCTACACTACGACTAGTATGCTGTCTTTCTACCCTATTAAAATTTACTTGTCTTAAATTTCTTTGATTATGGTTAAAATTTTGTTGATTGTTAAAATTTTGTATATTTTGCCCATTATTTCTATTATTGTTATTATAATTGTGTGTACTGTTCTGATAATTGTTTCTGTTAGTGTTGTTTTGATTGTAATTGAAATTGTTTCTATTGTTGTAATTATAGTTTCTATCTCTGTTTTCGGTATAATTATGGTGTTGTTGTCTGTTAAATGGTGTATTTTGTATATTTGTGTTATTGTTGTAATGTCTGTAGTTTTGTTGTTGTTGATTGTTGTTTGCCTGGAAATTTCTATTTCTTAAATTTGATCGATTATAATTGTTATTAAAATTTCTAGAATTATTATTTCTATAACTGTCATATTGATTGTCATTATTTCTATTTGTACGTCTAGTTATTCGGTTTAAGTAATTGCATAGCTGGTCCATATTGCATACATTATTTATAGCTAAAGTTTCAGCAATTTCCTCCTTGAAATGACGTGAAATATACTGTACAATTTCATTTTCATTTAGTTGAGGTGTTAAATATTTTGCATTTGCATATAATCTTAATGCATAGTTTGTCATGGTGTTGGACATTTTATCATTGTATTTTCCAAAATATAATCTTTCTCTAATCATATTCTGGTTAAAATTTCCCCAATATTGATTTAAAAACTGTTGCTCAGATTCTTTAATATTTTCTATGTCGCTTTCTTTTCCTGTAAACCATACATTTGCCTCCCCTTCTAAATTTTCTCTTATCACTTGTTTTAATTCCTCACTGTCATGAATGTTTTTGCACTTGTTTTTAATACTTTTCATAAATACCATGGGATGTATTACACTAATTTTACCATTAAATTTCACTGTCGGTGCACTTTTATCACATGTAACATATCTAATTTCTAATTGTTGCTGTTCCGCTTGTTTGGTTTTCAACATTTTAATTTCTTTGTTCAATTCTTCTCTTAAGGTTAATATTTGGTTATGCTGTTCTTCATTAATTCCATTCCTGTCCCTTCATTGTATATTTTCTTCATTTTCTTGAATTCTTTCTTGATTGTTCTTGATTTTTCCTTTCATGTCTTCCATCTCAAAATTTAGTACTATTTCTTTTTGTTGCATTTTTTTTCCATGTTTTTGTAGCCATCAACACTCTCTTGTATTTTTATTAAACATTCCTTGGTGTTTTCTTTTACTTCTTTAACCAGCTTTTCTTCTACTTTATTTATTTTTCCATCAATTTCTTCTTCTAATTTCTTGTGTTCCATGATACATTGATGTTGAACTTCATCCAATCTTTTTTCTACTCGTTCTATTGCTTTTGCAATATCTTCCGCTATTTCTATTCTTAAATTTTCCTTTGCATTTCAGCTTCTTCTTTTTCCTTCTTTCTTTGTAGTTCTGCTTCTTCTTTATCTTTTTGCCTTTGCATTTCAGCTTCTTCTTTTTCCTTCTTTCTTTGTAGTTCTGCTTCTTCTTTATCTTTTTGCCTTTGCATTTCAGCTTCTTCTTTTTCCTTCTTTCTTTGTAGTTCTGCTTCTTCTTTATCTTTTTGCCTTTGCATTTCAGCTTCTTCTTTTTCCTTCTTTCTTTGTAGTTCTGCTTCTTCTTTATCTTTTTGCCTTTGCATTTCAGCTTCTTCTTTTTCCTTCTGCCTTTGCAGTATTGCTTCTTCTTTTTCTTTTTGTCTTTGTAAATCGGCTTTTTGGAACATTTCTTCCTGTTTTTTTCTGAGTTTCTTTAAACCTTCCTTCAATGTCTTTCTTTTGTTCTTGAAACAATTCCCTGATCCAATCCATATCAGTCCTTCTTTCTTGTTTTCTTTCTTTCCTTTCCCCCCTTACTTCTATTCCAGTTACTGTACTTGTTTCTTCTGTACTCTCCATTTCTTCAGAACTGCTTCTTTCTTCTACTATAACCTTTCCACTTCTTAAATCCATTCTATTTTAAAATACTTTAATTTACACTTTTATTTTAATCACTTTTTTTTTATTTCAGCCCCTGTATATTTTCAAAAGAACCTTTTATTAAGAATTCACCTTTTCAAGAAAGCAACTTTTCAAAAAAAAGCCAGACTTTTTATTTGTTTTTTTTTTTTTTAGGAGTCCCACGTTTTTTTTTTTAGGAGAGCCCCTCGTTGTTTTAGGAAAGCCCCACGTTGTTTTAGGAGAGCCCCACGTTTTTTATGAGAGCCCCAAGTTTTTTTAGGAGAGCCCCACGTTGGCTAGCGACAAAATTTATAATGTAATAAATAATAATTTTGATTTTGATTTGATGCAATAAATATTTTTCTTTTATTATTATTATTTAATTGAATTGATTATTTTGATTGATTGATTATTGGATTTTAATTTTTGTTCAAGTGTATAAAAAAATTTCAATGTTTATTTTAATTTATTTGATGAATGATAAATGATTTTAATATTTTGGTTAATATGTGTAATTTGTTAGAATATGATTAGTAAAACTATATTTTGTTTAGGATATGCTATTGATTGTTGGACGCCTTTAAAAAAAATTAATCACAATATTTACCTTGCCATGCTTATCACTATGTCAGGAAACTTTATAGAGCTAGACCTCTTTCTCTCTGGGTACGCGGTTCAGGGATATATTTTAACACTCTTTATATGTAAATTTATATAACCTTTTTATTTTGCACTTCAAAATTTGCTTTAATTAATTATTGATTATAGATCTAGATAATAAAAGATTAAAACTCAACTCGTAACAAATCAGATATATTAAATATAACTCCTAGTTATAATTGACAAAATTAAATTTTTAATTACTACAAACTATCTTTTATTCTAATTTTGTTAAATATTTTTATCGATCGATATTTTTTAAGTTGAAAATTGAATTTGAATTTTAAATTGTGCACTTTGTTTTCTTTTATTTTTGGAATAAAATTATTTCTCTATTTAAAAAAAACAATTTCGTTAAATAATTTGAATTCAATTCTGGCCATATGATTATGCAATCTCTGATAAGTATAGGTGCATTGCAAGTTGCTAACTTAGCTTAATTACTTATCTTGATTTTTCATTTCCATGCGTTGGTATTTCTATTTTCAAAGTCGATAGTCTCTGGATACATAATAGGTTTGTTCCTAGTAGAATCCAAAACAGTTTCCAACAGTCAGACGCATGCGCATATGGATATAATGCTTACATAAGGTTCAAAATTCATTGTTTTGAATCAAATGCGATTGCGTCGAACTGTTGGAAACTAATTCTAATGCACTTGGAACAAAGCTAATAGGTCCACTTTGGATTTCCCTTTCTTACTTTCTGGTACTGATTTCGGGCACTGGTGGTCTTCAGTAACTTCACTTTATTTTAACACTGTAGTTTATCTTTAACTTGTTTACAAAATTTTTACACAATGAACACAACTACCTTTCTAGGAACTTTTGGTTTTTAATAGATTTTTCCAGGTTGATTCACAATCACTGAGAAATGTCAATTCGTCGTACTCGTACTAGGTTATTAACTTATCTTCGGGGTACGTTATTTTTCATATACAACTTTGATTTTACTTTGTTAATTTGTTTTTTAGGCTTGACATGTTACATGTTACTTCGACGACTGCCAAATTACTACTCTCCGTTGTTTGGTCCCGTTCCTGTTTTTATAATATCCTAGACAAATGCTCATCGTTGCTAGGCAATTGACTTTTCTTTGAATCTGTGAAAACTTTGCCTGGAAATTTTGGACTTATGCTTGCCTTTTTGGAAAAATGATTATCATTTTTGGATTCCTTGGCTTATAACGAATACTTTGATATGCAACATTATATAGTACGAGTATTTCCTAACCTAATACAAATTTTCACATATTTATGCAAATCTCTCAAAAAAAACCTTTTATAACTAAAATCTAAGCATTTGGGTTTAAACATTGTCCTATACCCTTTACTTTTATTATATTTATACTGTCCATTTGCTTAAATTCTGTAATTTACAGTCTGTTTACTTGTAGGTACTACGAAACCGTTTTCACTTTGAAAGTTTATCTAAAACAAAATGTTTTTATATGGAATGATATGAAGTATTGTAGTCTCTGGACATCAGTCTTTCACCTTATACACAATTATTCGGAATGTTCCACACACTAACTATAATTTCTATAAATTTCTCCGTTGAGGATCGTTTTACATTGGTTTTATGAAAATTCAATAGTTTACAATATTGTGAATCTTATTATACCTATGGAATTTCATTTAAGGTATAGTGAACTTAACATTTTATTACTTTATGTTATCTGGCACCAAGTTATATTAAAATTTTTATCCCTCGTTACTTTATCGTTACGGAAATATTATGTACTTTTTAAAATTTACTTTAACACATTTAGGATCTTGTTATTTTTTGTGCTCAGGTGACTCTTTATTAAATTAACTATCCTTTCATGCTATTTTAGCAATAAATTTCTTAATTTTTATATTTTAAATTTACTAAAGTTTGTTAATTTTGACATATGTCTAGATCATTTAGAAATCTATTAGTTTTCTCTACAAAATTTTATCTTTTATAGCTTATAACTTATTATTTACTGGTTGATTTCTAATCTTCCATTATCCATCTATTTTATTATCTTTTGTTTGATTTAATATAACTTGAGTGTAGGATTTGTTCATTATTTTTATTTTTCCCTTGATCTATATTGATGTTTAGCTCTATAATTCGTTCTAAAATTTTGTGAATTTCACAATATATATTGAAATGATACGGTTAATCTTGACGATTAAGTTAGAGACCAAAAAAAAATTATATATTGGGGATGTCGTTGCACTTTGTCAATTTTGCGCAGGCCCGAAAATTTAGCGGATTATTTCAAATGAAATTTAATAACTGGTGTACTATTAACAGCAAAATTACCAATTATTATTTTGTATATCTAATTATACAACTTGTTAATTGTAATTTTTGATAATGTTAGATAGTGAATGTAAAATAAAATGGGTACAATAAAACGGAAGCCAAAAGAGAGTACAAGTGTGTTATTTATAGAAAATAGTAAACATTTTTTGAAATTTAAAATCGATACATCTTCACAAAAATTCATATAAAAATACATATTATGTACAAATATACATAAAAATAATAACGAGTTATCTACCTTAACTAACACATACAGGGTGGGCCACCAGTAACGCCTCATTCGCTAGTGACCAAACGGCAAATGTTACAGAAACCTGTATAGGTGGGTATGTGTAGGTTGATTACGGCTACATTTTAAAAATATTTTGAAATATACAGGGTGTCTAGGAAAAGCGTACCATATCAAAGTTATGTTTTTTTAAATGGAACACCCTGTATTTTACTGCATTTTTGAAAGCACCGTAAAAAAATAGGTGAACTTTATTAAAGGTTCTGCATACCTAGGACTTACAGTTTGTGAGATATTTCAATTTTAGTGAAAATGCAGGCATAGCGTAGAAATTTAATATTAGCAATAAAAAAATAATTTTAAGGAAGCAGCTTTGGAGGGTCTATTTTAGATCCTTGAAGTTATAAATTGTTATATTTGTCGTCACTTAGTATTATACAGGGTGTTCAAAAAACTGCTGAATACTTCTCTCAACTTTAAACAGCAATAACTTGGTTATTTTAAATGGAACACCCAGTATATTTTTACTTTGGGAGTTGGGAAATTTAAAACTCTTTCAAACTGTGTATAGGTTCCCTATACCTATCTCTAACGGTATTGGAGATATTTGTGCCGTTTCGTTTTTTATCGATTTTTTTTGTAAGATGTATCCACGTGTCTTTATCGAGGTCTTTACTGAATTGGTTTGGGTTCTTCTTGATGACGTCTCTTTAAATATATTGAGAAAAATGAGGATGCAATTAGATGGCGCACCTGCAAATTTTTCATATTCAGTGAGAAATTATTTAAATCGAAAATTTAGTAATAAATGGATAAGTAGGAATGGTGCATGTCAGTGGCCACGTAGGTGTCCAGACCTCACCGTAATGGACTTCTTTGTTGCGAGCTATATAAAAAATCTTGTATACAATGTTCCACCTATTACTTGCGATGATATTGGAGGGAAGGATTAGAGATGCATTTGCGTGAGAATATCATTTGAAGATAGAATAAGATGCTGTATTCAGGAGAATGGTTATCAATTCGAACATCAATTAAAATTTTTCTTTGTTTTTTCTAAAAGTAGAAGTTCCTTTTATCATTATCATGAAAATATTCAAAAAAGTTTTCTAATAAAAAATATTATTTTATAAGCAGAATAATTATAAAAAGTTATTAATTTTGTATAAATATGTTTGTAGTAAGTAACTGAATTATTTATGAACATGAAAAATATTTATTAAAGAAAATTTTACTTTTAGAAGAAACAAAGAAAAATTTTAATAGATGTTCGAATTGATAACCATTCTCTTGAATACAGCATCTTATTCTATCTTCAAATGATATTCTCACATTCCTTAGAATATTTGGGGTGATTGTGGCAAATGCATATCTAATCCTTTCCTTCATATCATCGCAAGTAGTAGGTGGAACACTGTGTACAAGATATATTTTTATACAGCCCGAAACAAAGAAGTCCATTACGAGAGGTTTGGACACCTGTGGTAGCCACTGACATGGACCATTCTTACCTACTCATTTATTACTTAATTATCGATTTATATAATTTCTCACTGAATATGAAAAATGTGCAGGTGTGCCATGTATTTGCATTCACATTTTTCTCCTTATATTTAAAGAGACGTCATCAAGAAGAACCCAAACCAATTCAGTAAAGACCTCGATAAAGACACGTGGATACATCTTACAAAAAAAATCGATAAAAAACGAAACGGCACAAATATCTCCAATACCGTTAGAGATAGGTATAGGGAACCTATACACAGTTTGAAAGAGTTTTAAATTTCCCAACTCCCAAAGTAAAAATATACTGGGTGTTCCATTTA